TGTGGTACAGCCGATGTTGGTCAGTCGAAGCAACGAGTTTCAGCAAATTTCATTGTGCAAATATAAAAAAGACACGTAAATGAATAGGATGTTCGTCAAAGGAGCCGAACGTGTGGTGCTTTTTTCGAAACTGCATATCATTCTCAGTAATCGGCATCCAAACTGACTTACATCTTTGCTGTATGTGTAGAGAAGACTGCCATTAGCAAGCCTTAAATGGATAAAACTGAGGGAAATTACAGTGTTTAATGAAGTATTTCTGAGAATAATGACTGTGTTTACTTTTCTTCACTCTATAGATAGCCGAAAGTTAGGAAAATATCATAAAAGTTCGCCTCCATATTTAAATATGTAAGGAGCCAATTCAGTCAGTACTACGTGAATAACCCGCTGCAAGCAACGGGCTATAAAAATATGAATTCTGATCTCACGTAAGTTTTAAGGCATCTCATATCAGAGAAAGTTACCATCCCTTACTCCAAATATGATGAATGCTTTCGACTTTGTTGGCTAGATGTTGATTATAAAAGTAATACGTAAACGTACATCGCACCCAGCACGTGTTATTTTAGTGAATGAACATTATGATATAATTTTTTTTTTATTATTCTTATAAATTCCCTTGAACATTTTACATTCTCCTCCTACGAATTCCCACTTCACTCTTGTATGATAATTGTCAAAGAGTGGAATTGTGAAATATGGCGTTACGTTAATTCAATACTGGTTCATAAAGAAACAGAATGAAATTGATACAGGTCACCTAGAATACAACCTTTTTAAATAAACCAACAAGATTACATAAATAATTGATTTAATACAGCTGTCAAATTAAGTTTACACAATAATGCTAAATGTCGAATCGAAGAGAAAGGTTATTTATTCAGGTCTAGCCTAAATTCAAGAACTCCATTTAAAAAAATATTTTAATATTACTAGAATGGTCGGACTGCAATGTCGTGGATGGCTGTCTTAATACCAATCATTAAACTGAACGTGCAAATTTTTATCAACTTCCCTTGGAGTTAGGAACTATTTATTTATTTTATGTCTTGAGAACCTAGCAGTCACTCTCAGTCAAGAAATTACATCAAATCCTGTAAGTGTTGAGACTGTTTGGCATGTCGAATCATACACGAACACTTACTTTCACAGAAGACGGAAAAGTTAATTAACTGCATAAATACAACGAAATATATTTAATGAATACTTGTCAGTTGGTCATTAAATTTTCAGATGGAATTAAATTTTGGCACTTTAAAAGAAATAAAATTAAATTTTGCATGTGAAACAGTTGTTAAAATATGTGTCAACATTCGTATCTCTTAACAGAACGATAGAAAGGGATAAAATAATTTAATTTTTCGGAGTTTGTCCTTGGGAAATGTTTGTATCAAATGTATCGTGCAGTATGCAAAATATTTGCTGACTGTATCTTTCAAAACATTATCTAAGCCGATAATCAGGTGGAAAAGAAGCGAAATAGTGGTTACCAGCTAAGACTTTTCTTTGTTCACAGAAGTCAAGTCAATCAACGACAAAATCGTACACGTTCTGCTGTGTCACATAAAACATAACCTTGTAAAGGACTTTGTAATTGCAGAAAGATTACAAATTTCATTTCCGAAAGAAATTTTGCGTCATTTTTCCATTCTGAGACGGATGCAACAGATTTATAGTAAGAGCGTACGGATTTCAGTTGCAGCTGCGGGAGAGATATAATGGTTATTTATCGTTGTATTCACATGCTAATGTATCTCACAGGTGAAGAGACATGTTTGCGTTCCAGCATGTCATGACAGTCTGAACGTGGTGACCTCTACAGCGAATAAAAGACTTCCTTCCCATCATGAATAATTTTGACGACAAACAAGGACAGTTGAAAGTCGAGCGGCCCAACAATTACTACCGCCTACAATGTTTTCTTCAATAATATCAGCGAGGAACACCCAAGTGATACAGAAAATACCAAAGCGGTCTTCAAATATTTTGAAAGATTTCGTCCCGCGATGTTCTTCATGGTTTCTGTTGATAAACAAGGTTAGGTTTGGTTAATAAACATTCCAGCTCTCACTAGTCTTAACATTTGTGTACGCTGCAAGTGTTTACGTGTGTATTTGAATGCGTGACAAGTTGAAGTTTGTTTTACTGAAGTGCAGGTCTAAACAGAGCATGTTATTTAATATACAGTGCGCTTGTGGATAAAGTTGAACGCCGTGAGAACCTCAGATCTCACGCAGGAAAGTCGCTGTGTTACTGGAAGAGAATTACTTTTCCTGTAATACTTCCGTAGCAAAGAGTTCGTGAAGAAATCGTCGCAGAAATTGTAAATGGGGCCAAAGTGACACTTCTTCTGTGTCTTTTGGTTGTTGTTGGTTTATTTAACGAAGTGTTAACTGGTTATGATAAATTGTGGTCTAGGGTCGGACTGTGTGTGGCTACAGATTACTTTTGGATTGAACAAAGGATGGGGCCACTGAACTGCTCAAACATTCGTTGTATTAGCTGTTCTTCCACTGGCATGGCAGGGTTCTTTGATATTGAAGGAAGTGAATGAATGAAATGGTCTTAGATCATATTTATTACCTTTGTTCTTGCGCTTATCACAGACTAACAAACTTACTTCATGACACAGAGTCGTCTTTCAGAAACTTGTAGTCGTTCAGCTAGTCAAGAAATTCCTCGTATTTTATGGAACTTTAGTTTCAGTAACGTTTTTAGAAGATTCGCCAATAGACACGGCCACAAACATAAACTTGTGGCTTGTTAGTCTGTCCTCCCATTAACGTTTAGGTTTTCCAAATTGTCTCTTTTCGTCAAGATCACCGATTAAAATATTGTGTACATTTCTGCCTCCGCTCAATTCATTCTTCATAGCACAACCACCTCATCGTATTTGACCTCTTCATCTTAATAATATTTTAAAACGAGCACAAATTGTAAAGTTACTCATCAAATATCATTTGTTCCTGTGCCATTGAAAATGCGTCGTTAAATAACTTTAGAATACGTTGTTGTTATAATCATACACTGAGCTTTCATTTATCCAAACATCGAAATCATTCTTCAGCACACACTTTCCAAAGTTTGGAGAATCCACGAAAGTTTGTTTGTCAATATTTTCACAAGTATCCGAGGGAAACGTCACTTGACCTCACTTTCATCACGTGGCTGCTTAACCCAGCGGTTTCCAAACACCCGAAAGGTGACTTGCGTATTTTTACAGAATAGTAATAGCTTCTTTTTTTCCAAAAAAATGTACAAAAAGTATGTTTTTCTCCCATTTCGGCAGACCTATAAATTAAGAGATGATGGAAATTTTTGAAATTTTAGGTTCTCACGGCGGTGAGTAGGAACATGACTGTCTTTTCGTACTGGATGGCCAGGAACTTGGTGAATCACTCATTAGTTAATTAGCGAGTCATGAAATTAGTTGTATACTTTTAGTGGGTAACCCAAAATTTGAACTAGTTAATCGTCCATTTGGTTAATCATTAACTAAGATTTTAAAAGTAGTTAATCAGTGCATGACCGAATTACTTAATTAGTTAGTTAATTAATCACCTGATTCGTTAATTAGTCGCCCATTGCTGCTTCAAGATGGTACGCTACGATGACAAATGGCGGAAGCGACGAGTACCTACCACGCTGAGATGTTTCAGTTCCTGCTAATACGAGATAATTGGAAAATACATAACATGATTACGAATTTGGCACGCGAAAGGTGATAATAGAGAAAGTGGTTCGTACTATTGCCAATCACTTTTGTTTGGGTGCGCTTCTGGGAGAGAGAGGCCTTTCATTATCACAGTCTTCACTTGCTCAACGCCGGTTGCTTGAACAACTGTGAACGACTTTGTGTGGTCTTTTGTACTTTATTATCACATAAAAACTGCTTCAGACTTGTCATTTTCTGCTTTCCGCAATCGTGTTACTCAGCTTTTATTCTGTTGACAATTCTCTTTCAACATTTCTGATTATTCTAGAACTGGTATAGTATTTAAAAAGTTAACTTAAGCTCATATCACTACATCTTTTAAACTTCCTCTTTACAGGAATTGATTGTTTAAATAGTATTAATCTGTTCCTATTTAGTGCATTAAATTATTATAATTATTTTTATTAATAATAATGTTTGTATTTTCTAACTTTACGCTATATTTTATTAACATGCATTCAAACTTTGTCAAAATACAGTTCGACTGTTATTTTATTCACAAGATAAAACTGTCTTCTTGTGATGTTGAGCGTATCCAGCAGAACAGAGTTCTGCATGACAAGTATTTTCTGCAGATCTACATAATTCTTGAAGTAGTTATGCTGAGATACGTGGGGTAATTATCGCTGATGATTTTTGAGTGTAATTGTAAGCTCTTCCAGTCTCAAAATATGTCCAGTTTCAATCATAAGTTCACATGTTGATCAATGTTATCAACACGAAGCTAAACTTTGAGGTACTTAAATAAAAATGTTTGGGGACAAGGGTTTCAAAATACATTTGGTGTCTCAAATATCTGCGTCTCATTTTCAAAATATATTAATATGAATAAAATCTTCTCGGGCAATCAGCCTCGTTAACGGGTTACCGTAGTAAACCGACGTTTCGGGAACAAACTCTAGCGACCTCCGAGGATCCAGTCACATCAGAATCCTGAAAATGGGACAGAGTTTGTTCCCGAAACGTCGGTTTACTACGGTAACCAGTTAACGCGGCTGATTGTCCGAGAAGATTTCATTGATTGTAATCACCGCGAACGTCTCAAATCCTATATATTAATATGGCTATTCTCCTGAAAAACAATTTTTACCTTATCAGAGGCTGTCACTGTTGGCACAATTCTTCGCCGTATCTTTACATCACTGTCAGACTTATAAGCTTAATAGACCCAATAAAATGATGTGACGCTGCTGGGTTATAAACAGCTTCAGGAGAATAGATGAACCTTTGTTTCACCTGCTCTTTCTTTAATATAACACGAAAGTGCAAATTTACTCAAAGCAAGGTTTATCACGTTTTTAAACATAAAATTCTGGGAAGGATTCATAACTCCTGCTTTCCTTCAGTCGCTTTGTTCTATATCCCGAGCCTAACACGAGCTACAAATTGTATACGCCTAAGTATAAAATTATACAATTTAGTGATTTGTGATGTGCGTAATTTCCATCAGTATAGATTCGGATTCCGTCAAATTTGTCATAAAAACCTATTATATATATTTCAGATCATATTAGTAGATATATTTATGGCATATTTAAGTGCGTTACTACTTATCTCCAATGATTATCATTATCTCATAAACACTTTTTAGCGTAGTTTTGCGTGGTCGCTATGTTGTTTCATATCTCAAAAAATTGTCGTAACATAAGTTTGCATTTTCTCAGAAGTTCTGTTTTCTGGAAGCAACTTTGGTGTGAATTTAATAAAATTATTACTGTTAATGGTGTTATTACTTTCCAACCAAAATATTTTTAAAAAAATCACTTTTAAATCTCTGTATAGTACGTGCTTCGTTGCTAGTATCAGGACATAGACGTCCCTTTGTCATATGTAACTTTATAAATTACCTCTGCATGTTAAAAGTCACTATAATGCACATAATCACATTCAGTTTATTAGCGCTTGGTTTGGGCGTGGTGGACACACGTCTTGGGATGCGAACGCGCCTTGTTAGGGAGAGTAGGGCAGGGGCCTCTCGGCAATTATTTATTCAAATACTATGGAAGTTCAAAGAGAGCGACAGAACGCACATACTCAGAAGGTCACAACTCTTGATCCTGAAAGGAGATAGCACGCACGACATTACATAGTCGTAACTAGGGGAACCCCATAATTCTGTATTCCGATATAAGTTGATTTTCGAAGGCAAGAAGAAAGCAGAAAGAGTAGACGTAATGAAACAAAGTACATGTTGATGTGTGAGGACTAATGGCTTACCGGCATGAAGCGCCATCTAAATTGTGTGTGCCTGCAGGCTATCTGAAACGATGTCGTCAGTTGGGGTGGAATGCATTGATCTTCGACGTTTAATTTTAATTACATTAACTGCCTGACTAACTCTCCTTCTACAAAACTAGAGGATTTAGACCACTCACTGAAGACTGCCAAGATCCTAAACTAGTTCAGTCCAGTTCAGATTTGCACAGTCGATTCCCTAAACTTTTTCTTAATGTTGTCGTCATGTCTCCTCCTCAGTCGCCCTACCAGGTTCTGAAGTGACAGTGCCCCAGACTTGTATTTGGGACAGACAGTTCCACGCTCAACTATTCGCGTTGAAGATTTACATAATTCTTTCCAGGCATATCTCGGGTCGTTACCTTGAGATAGGTCACTACCGCCTCCTTCGAAATACTCATAACAAATCAATGATAGTTGCATTAACAAATATACATTAGTTTTAAAGACGAAAATAGCCTGAAGATGATGCAGTTGCATTGAAACATGTTGTGAAATAAAATAATGAGCGCTAAAATTGTAACATCGTAATAGCGATGATAAGCGCCAAATTTTAAAGTTTAGCTTTAATAACACCAATTTTAACAACTAAGTTTGTGTATTGACGGAAATAAATAAATATATTACTGAATTAAGCACAAACATGACGCATTTAAACTACAAACTCATTCTTCATTATTCTTCCGTCTCATTTGAAGCTATAGTGAAACCCTTTTTAGTTGAAATGGCATAATTAAATAAACTAACATCAATCAATGATCTTTTTCCGAGTGGGCAGCTTTCCTTTTAAAATTTCAGTTATTTCTTGCTAGTCCATTGAGACCTTCACTTGATATTGACTAAATCCACGGAGCAGAGTTCTCCTTGAGAAGCTAACAAATAGTATGCTTAAGTAGTCCAGAAATTCCGCATCTTCTGTGGAATTTGAAGGTTTGTACAGAGTTCACATGAGACCGCCACCAGTCCCACTAATTTGGTTATCCTAATAATATTTCGTGAAAGCTCCTTCATTTAACTACCCTAATAATCGGCCTCCAAGTTATTTGTAAGAAGGCTGAGAATAGTTTTCCATAGTTTTTGGTACGTAGTATATCAGGTTGTCCTTGTGATGTAGTTACATAATCTGTAATTTAATAGTATAAAGGAGAGTCATTTTGTGTTGGCGGATAATAAAAGTTGTCCATGTTAAATACAGCAACAGGATGTTTACATCCGATACAAAATATACTTTCGCAGATTTACCGAAGCTAATCTCCAATGTGCAGATAAAAATTACCTTAATATTAATACATGTAACCCAGCAAAAGAAAAAAGTTGCGAGCCTGTGTCCTAATGTGCATTAAATGGAAACAGTATTGCTGCTTTGTTTGTTGCTATTGTTGCTAGTAAAGTGATGGAGGGACGTCTCGTGGAGTGAACTTTGTTTCGGTAGTTACATAGAAGAAAGATACAGATAACCCATGCGTTTAACATGATAGAATCGGGAAAGAAGCTTCAAATCGTTTCTATTACCTGTTCCATTGATAGTTTCATACATGGTGCAAGATCACTGAGAACGTCCTCAAGCTTCGTGATGAAAACCATTACTGTTTTATCTCCTAATCTGGTTACGGAAAAACAAAGTACAAGACGTAAATATAGTCGACCTGAAGAAAGTAATGGCTTTAGTTCAGAAATCGTTTGTTCGGACATAGTTCGTAGTCCTACTACTACAAATTAATTTCAATAAGCCATTTAAATTTTTGTAGGTATGTAGGTAGTGTATAATGTTAATTCCATTAGAAAAGAGAAATGGCAAACAGAATTGTGAGATATGTCTTCAGCTCTATGGCACTACAGCCCGACTCTAGTGGCCTTGACCTTTTTAATGGCCTTTGTAGGTTTCCTAAATTCCATTATGATAGGTAACAGCACTCCGTGGATGGGAATCGATCCATTGCAGAAGCTCTGATCATCATAGGGCAAAGAGGAAAACAGTTGGAGCGGGATTTGTATATTATTACAATGGAACGAGGCCAACGGGATAAGCCAGTAACTGTCTAGACCGCTTTACATTTCATTTGATTTTGCCCACTATGCTTTCTGCATCTTCACGATTTTTCCACTTTGTTTTGTATGGGTGTGGAACTTGATTTGTCACATAAAGGGAAAACGTGCTTGAAAAGCAGAGCAGTATTGTTTTTAATTAATTTGTTTTCGAAGCGCCAAGCTTTTAGGCAACACCTCGTACGTCAATATTTCACAATTGATTCTCAACATGATCGTTAGATGGCAGAAACAGTAAGAGCGTAGTAACGCATCTTTTCCTAGATGGCGGCACAGTATCGTGTTCTTGTCTCGTATTATATGGCGCCCAGTTTCGTACGCTGATAGGTGTGTGAAAATGTTTCTGCTGTATGTTAAAAATTTGAAGTGGATTCAGAATACAATCAACAAGACACGCAGTCTTGATGGTACCTCATTACTAGCTGCAGTAAGTATTTTACTTACTCTCTTTCGATATGTTACTTTTGCTTGTAATTTGACTTACTTTTCCTTTCTTTTAAAAATTGACATGGCAATCCTTTGTGAATCCATGTGGTTACATTTCTGCGGTGGGGAGGGTGAGGATAAAACACTGTGGTTAACAGACCTTATAGGAAATTGGAGGTTAGAGAATACTGGTAATACTCATCAAAGTACGGTTAATGTGTACATATTTGATCTTCCATTCTTCTTCCAGAGTGTTTTGTGGACATGTATGACAGCTGTGTGGGAATTGCTGAATGCTGACTCCTGGAGAATGAATGTGCTAGTAACAACCTTGTCTCCTCATACACCATCGGTTGATGCTGATTTTAGAAGCGTGTACAAGAGTCACCTGTACAAAGTTCATACTGTGGTGCTAAAACAATAGTTTTGATACTGTTTCCCAAATCCTATTCAGAAGGATGGTAGATTGTAGTTTCTTATTTCACAAAATAAGGGTAAATGGTCATTATGATACTTATCTTTGAAAAAAAACACTCAACTTTAATAAAGAGAACGATTTTCATAACATTTTGTCTTAACCTCGCAGGCTGTGCCGCGCACAATGCACCAGTATTAAACAGACGGTAGTAACATCACAGAATTTTAACTTTTTAGAAACTGGCATAAAAACGGATTATAAATCATTTAGTTCTTTGCCAACAAATACAGTGATCTGAGATGCAACCCATTGGGTAATAATGTGCTGTGGTCCTCTTGTCGCAATGAACCTAATTCTGTCACCTGCAAACAAGCAATATTTTGTTAGTTACAGCTTGCAATAAAATACATTACAGAAGATAAATTAAGGTTCATACACCTAAGTTATTTGTGGAAAATTCTTAAAATCAAAAGGACAATACATTTATCTGACTATAATCCTACTATATCAGGCATTATACCAGTATCTTACTGAATATCTTGTCAACATTATATTGAAAAGTTAAGAATTACATATCATAAAAAGGAACAATTATACTGTGCTAGTACATATACTATTTGTTCCCAATAGACTAAACTTAATATTACAAAATTAAATAAAGTCAACGCTGTACATGACTGCATTATATTTCAACTGAGATTCACCTTCTTGAAAAACTTTGGTGAGATCATGTGATCCTAGATTTAATCTGAAAAGAAAGCAGGCACTGCGGTGGAAGAGGATGCTGTGCCAGGTGTTTGGCTTCATAGTGCCTAGAGCTATGCCAAACTCCTCATTCAAAATCTTCAGAATCTGCCCCTCGCCACAAACGAACACTGACTTGGGATTAGATGCTAGCTGCAATACAGCAGAGCAGAATTAAAATACATTTACTTTCCTTCCTTAAGAAGGAACTAAGAAATGTCATATCCTTTCTACCATCTATCTTACCTCTCTAGTATGTCCTGTCCTCTTATTCCTCTTTATCCTACTCCATGTATATGGAAATGCAAAACATTCTACCTAATCATCACACACTGCCTATCCACTCAACCAATGAATACTGCCCCACATATCTCACGTACTCATTCTACGTGTTCCATTAATCAAAAGTGGATTATTCTTTCCCACACAACGTACGCTGTTCTCGTCACAAGACTGCGGAACAAAACCATGATATAAAGGTCGCTAGTAAATTCTTTAACGTGGTCTCTCACTCAGAGGGAGGAACACAGATTGCAGGTGTTTGAGGAGGATATTTAGGCCTGGAGAAATCTGCATAATGATGAGCTTAAGAATTTGTACTCCTCCCCCAATATTACCAGGGTGATTAAGTTGAGAAGAATGAGATGGGCAGGGAATGTAGCGCGCATGGATGGGACAAGAGGTGTGCACCGGGTATTGGTCGGGAAGCCTGAGGGGAAGAGACCGCTGAGGAGACCTAGGCGTAGATGGAAGGATATGTCAGGCGGGATCTATGGGAGATAGGAGTCGAAGGAGACTGGATTTTGTTGGCCCAGGACAGGGTCCGATGGAGGGCTTTGGTTAATTCGGTGAAGAACATTCGGGTTCGGTAAGCCATCTAGTTAGTTAGTAAATTCTTAAGAAATATGACAAAGTTCAAATGTTTGGGAATACTGTGGCCAGTAGTGTATTTTATTATTACTTATGTTGTGAGTTAATTATTTTTATGTAAATGCTTACATGCTTGATTTCTGTGGTAAGATTTTGGGTCTGCACAACAGGGAAGACTGTCATATCGTAGTCAATGCTAGGTTTCTGGCCCTTCCATACAACTGTAGCAAACCAGGGACAATTGCTGTCATTTTCAGACTTCTCGCAGGGCACGGCGTCAAACTGCACCTTGTCGTCTGTAGCGAGTGTCGACTGCAGATTCTGCTTAGTATTCAGACGCTTCCCAAAGAGGAACAGCTTACTTGCAAGGAACAAGACACTGTGCTCACATTCTAATAACAGATTGAAACACTCATAACAGGCCAAATAGATTTATAACAAGGATAATGATAACAATAATGAAGTTAAGATGCATCTAGCTGGGATTTCGTTTTAAATTCCGTAATGTTCTTCCAGAGCTGCGTAAATCCAAATAGATATCCAACTCACCATTAGTATCAACATATGTGATGACTCCGTGTCTGTGTGAGACCTCTGAAACTCTACCACGAGCACTGTAGATGCCATGGATGATTTTCGCATTATCGGCAGCACCAGGATCGTGGTGCCATGCCATTGTCACGAAGTACCCACACTGGTCTTGACCAGACTGATCAAACCCATGACACGAAAAACCGACCATGGAGCCTTCGTGAAGATACCCATCTATTGATTTACCCTGAAGCAACATGTGAGGTTCTACATAAACACAAAACTTTACTTTCTCTCCTCTGTAATTCTATTCCTCAAATGTATTAATTCTGTTGCTGTCGATGGTTAGAATTTTCTTCATGAATGTTCTTATTCTTGAGGGTTTGAATTTTACTCTGCACTCCTGTACCTGAGATGCAATCTGTAAAAGCGACTGCTTCGAGTGCTGTGGACTCTAAATACAACTTCAAACACAGCAACAGTGACTTACCTGAAAATGATAAGGGGCTCTGGAAATTTGCCAGGATGAAGATATAGGACTTATTCTAGAATATGAAAGATTCAAACACTTTACAACATGGATCAGAGAGGAAACATACCATAGGAATATACTGGCCATCCACAACAATTTTGTCAGCTCTCAACAGAGCTCTCTCTTCCTTGCCTTTGTACTTGAATGCCACAATACATTTGTATGGAAGATGTAGCTTAATCACTTTTCCCACCATGTTGTGCAGGTAGTTGATCTGAGCAGTCATTGCTGTTTGTAAACCAAACAGGTTAATTCAACACACCTTTCAAAACTTAATAACACTTTTCAGAGCACTAATGACTGCTAATATGAAACCTTCATTCTGTGAGGTTGTATGCTTGGTAGAGATGACATCATGTAAACAGTAAAAGTTAGAAAAAAGAATCAATACAAGAACTATATATGGATAACATGGAACAAATATAGGAACATACAGGAAAAAAATTGGATGAATCAGGAATTGTACTGTTATCTGAAATAAGTATAGAGAAAGTGTTTTTGATTATGAGGAAGCAAAGACTGTTATTTTAAATATTCACTTTTGGAGTATCATGCACTTTTTCCAGCACAACATGGGACTCTAATTATGATGACTTTACTGTGCTGCTATTTATATGGAAAATAACTTCATTAGAATAACAAATGATTTAGGAACATAAGTTCATCAATTTACTTTGACAAAATATTGCACATGCCCTTTGCAAGAAGTAATAAACTTTATTTCATATCTTAATTTTATATTTTAAGCAGTAAATAGCTCATAGCCTCTGCACCATATCCATTCCATTACACCAATCATGCTGGGGAAGTTAAAAAGGGAATCATGTCAGATGAGTATATCAGCATATCTGCACAATTGGAGATATTTGGTTCAACACCATAAAGTAGTGGGATGTATATCATGCCAGAAGGCCATAATGCTGATGCTGCTCCACACAGAGATACAAACAGTTAGCATTTGGACACATGAGCATTCATAACACAGTTGTCTTACCACATAAGAATAAGAATTTAGTCTTCTGTAAGTTGCTTATTTCGTTAATATGCCCTTGTTTTATGATGCCCTCGATTAGATTGTCTTTTGAGTGTGGTTTTTAGGTTACAGTGCTGTGAAGTCTGACTGTATACCAACACTTCTGAGGAAGCATGTTTCACTAGATTACATGGCAAAATGTTGCATAGAAGTAGTTAGCGTAATCGATAACGTCATATACTAAAAGGCCATAATTTAATATTCCCAGCCTAACCAAAAATATCTATTATATAAATTAATAGTTACCTTTCATTTATCACGAAGAAGCCTTGAAGTATAATACAATCGACTGCAAAGTCTGTTTCTTAGTTCTCACTGAAATTAAGAAAGAATGCTTTATATCGTTAGTTATATGCTAATGAAATCAGCAAAAAATTACAAACTCAAAATAATTATACCCTGCCGAGAGAACACTCTGTATCCTTTGTGCAATTTACCCTTCTATGAGAGTATTAGTGAATTCAGGGATACCAAACTTGGACGAATAACACCAATTCCAATGTAATATCTGAATTATGCGTGAGATGCTTCCTAGGTGTTCTGTCTGTACAATACTTTTGAAGGAGAACGAAGCTTATTAACATACATAATCTGGGTGATCAGCAATTATGCGCTTTAAAACACAGTGTTAAAAGTGATAGCCTTGGTAATTCATCTTGTTTATATGTGGTTTATTTAAATACGTAATCACCTTAGATTATAGCATCGCGTAATAATTAATTAATAATGTATTGAAAAGGATATAGAATTAATCGGACGTGGCATAATTTATCCCTGCGGTTGCCTGGACAAACTGAGGAAATTATGAAAGATCTCAATAAGAATAACCGGTCTCTGGTCGAAAGGTCGAACCTGGAACGCCTTGTATGCCAAGCAGTGATAACCATAGAATAATTCAACTTTCATCTTATGGAAAGTATTAACGAACTTCATAGACCTTTCATCTAAGCCTGCTTCTCCAAAATGGTGGCCGTAATTACAATTTTTGAATCAGATATTTGTAATAGTAGTAATATATTATTTACGTGCTACATACCCCGCCCATCTCATTATTATTGATTTTTATAAACCTAATAATATTTTGTGAGTAGTAATATTACACTATGAAGCTCTGCTTCATAACAATTTTCTAGCGTCCTGCCACGTCTCTTCTCGCAGGTCAAAATGTTGTTCTCTGCACCTTATTCTAATATATATATTTTTTCCACTTAATTCGAGATAAAAAGTTTCTGAGCTATAGAAGCCACAACGTTTTAGGTTTGTTTATTTCAATCAGTGGTATTTTATACGATAAACTGGAAGACAAAGAGATTGTGACCAGAATGTAACGTTTCATTAAAGTAAGAAACAATTAAGATTGGTCATATATGGACTTAATTCACAAGACTAGATTTTTTTGGTTTTTCTTAAATTAATTGAGAGTGACTGAACGTTAATAGGATTTTGATAGGTGAAACTGTGTTTTAGTTAGACACTGCTGTTTCTTTTGTATAAAGTTTCGCTTTTTGAGAAAAATGAAATTTCCAAGAAAGCGTTCTTGAATAAAATTCACTGGTTATGCCATATCTATGGTGCTGGGCCATTCCATTGACTAAAATAGAAGACAGGCTGGTTTTAAAAAGAATACTTAATTACCTGCTGATCGTATATATCGAAATTCGGATTAAATTGCCTTGTAAATAGCAGGAGGCCTTGGAGTGAAGACTTCGCAGTGATTCTTTAAAAAGCTTGAGTAAGGTTGACGAATCGTGCACCCCCAGGGGCCTGATATCTTAATTTACGTCTTTTGTTTGCTTTCACCTTGAAGAAACACTGCTACAGATCCAAATTGTCTTGAGAGGTAGTGAAAAGGACAGCAGATGAAAAATACACACATAGCCTGCAGTAAGGCGACTGAATCAATGTGGCAAAGTTGAGATAACGAAGAAAAAACGGAATTATATAAGAAAGAAAATTCGTCAATTTAGAGCAGAAACAAACAGGAAGACATTCTAGAAAATATTGATATTAAAAGGAAAAATGTTATGAAATAGTATAGCTTTCCAGGATAGAGTTTTTTTTATAGAGGAGGCTTGGTCCTACGTCATTGGGTATATTAGCAGTTAGAACAGCCACATATGGGAAGCTTAAAGTCCATAGCAGACATTTCACTCATTAAAAGGTGAAGTATAAAGTCAAATTTTACTTCGGTCTTCTTTTATTCAAAGAAATTGTGATTGCTAATACGAACGATTGATCGGCTAAGTCATCTCTTCTGGAGGTTGGTACTAGGCTGATGTAGCAGCTACTTATACCGTGTACTCAACTTTGGAACTGTTACATGAATTCTTTAGTGCTCTTATTGTTTATCGAAATATGTAGCCTTCCAGATAATATTTGTCGTCACCTGACATGTCTTCTGACATTTTTAAAAGATAATGTGTAGTACACGTTGGAATAAGTGAAATGAAATGTTACATGCAATTCTTTGCCATGTCTCGTTTTTAATAAACTCTACCTACTTGCTTGATACAACGTAGCAGCAATATGTTGTGTGACTTCTCAATCACACTCGTTGGTAGCCCTGCACGAAACAAAAGAAGGGAGCGGGGTTTACGGATGAAGTTCTATATACTCCCACTAGATGTCATAAGCATACAACGTTACAGTAGGTAATGCAGCGCAGTGTAATGACTTTATTCTGAAACACCTTTTCAAACAATGCGGAATTCTTTAGATGAAGATGGTGTGTGCTGCAAGCGTCTCTTCATAAAGGTAAAGCTTTTTGCTGTGCGTTAATTCCATCCACCTCCACAGATTTTGCACGAAGACAGAAATGGCAGGTCCTAGTAATTTATAACGTTATATTAATATGTTTGATGTTTGAAGATGGCTGTCTTCTGGGTTGTTGCGCCGTGTAGTCTGTGCGATGTTTACCAACGTTCACACGCTCTTATTGCCTCCAGTATTAGGACGATGATGGCAAGACTTACGGCTTATAGAAATGTTCATATAGAGCAAATGACTTGTAATGGATTGTTAGAGTCATGCCCCACACTTTGTGTTAATTCTTTTTCTTGTTTCGTACCATATGTATATAACCTATGAGTTCCAGAGGTAGACGTTCTCTTACAACGGACCATTGAAAATCTGGTTTTCGTATTTTAGCAGAAAATTTCATGTTATGACATGATCGTGCCCGAAAAAACGGTCATGCTTGTTTATTGGAGGCGTCAAGATTTTGGAACCATTCTTACTAATTTCGTATTACTGATAGTGCCTTCAAAATAAATTGGACATCATTACCTGCAACATTATCGTGTAACTCAATGAAGGCTAGTAGTAAATAGTCACTCAGCTGGTTAAGAAATTCTCCGGCCTTTATCAAACCCGAAGGTTAAGGTCTGCCATTTTCCCTATCCTAAGCCAGATTAATCTAACCCACACTCTCAAACCCTATCTCTTTATGATCCATTTTGGCACGTTCTCTCCGTACAATCATAAGCTTCCAGAGTGATCTTTTTCCCAGGTCTTCCGACTAAAATGTATGCATTTCTCATCTTTTCCATACTTAATACACGCCTCGCCCATTTTGTTCTCCTTAATTCTGAATGTTTACTAGCGGTGATAATGAATTTGTAATTGTATGAATGCCACATGATGGACTGACCTTGCGAATTTACAGGATACCCCCGAATTATAAATTAACTTAATGGAGGGGGAAGATTTGCGGTCAGAATATTTTACGGAGTTGGTTCAAAGTTACAACAGTATAATGGCCTATGCTACGATTAGAAATTCCTTCTAGGCAGAGACCGTTTGCCCATCCTAACTACGTAAACTTTGTTTTCGAGTTGAAAGTGCCTAAGCCGTGTTTTCGTATTTAATCCAATGGTACAGCCACTTCTAAGGCCAGTAGACCACTGCATCACCTAATAGCAGAATGCCTCGTGCTTAGAGTCAAATTACAAGTCAGACGTGTTTTGCGTATATAATGCCACAAAGTTTTGTTACGAAGTCAATAGAGAGGTTCTCGAAGTTCTGCAATGCGAAGCACTCGAATTACTTAATCTTATGTAAAATACCAAGGCGAGAAATCGGAGATGCAGAAGCGATTGCACACAGAATGTAAACTCTAAAAGAGCAAGATAATCGCTTCAGTTAAAATAAGGTGAAATAAAACAACATATAAGTTACATTATTTAATTTTATTCACTTCTAGCCACGGTGGTCTAGCGGTTAAAACGCTGGCCTTGTAATCCTGGGGTCTCGGGTTCGATTCCTGGCTGTGCCCGAATTTATAACTTGTGTTGGGCAAGGCCGTGGTCTAGGCAACACGGAGTTTTCCTCCGGGGGCTTCCCCGGTTTCTCCGTAGCATCCCAACAATTACTCCATTCACACACAGAAGAAGGCAATGGCAAACCACTTCTGGATCATCTGCCAAGAACGTATATGAACAGGTCCCAGTCCGAGAAAAGGATGGAAGGATCCTGTTCATATGGACCTGTCGTCAGACAGAACACTAAATAAAATAATATAACATTCACTTCTACTGAATGTTTAAAATAAACTCTGTTTGCTGCACAAAAATAAATTGTCACGAGTTGAGGTAACAGCGCTTTGAAGTGAGAATCGTAATTGCTTACGAAAATACACGATTTGAAATTGGAATCGCTTCTCTTAGCTTGCATTTCTAGTTCTTAAGCATTAGGAGCTTTTATAAGGGAGATGAAGATATAAAAGGGACAAAGGAAAGGAAGACATGGGTTAAGAGACGAAGATACGAAACAAATGAACCCCACTGATTTTCAACGACCGTTTCCACTAGTGCCATCATATTCGTTTGAGAGAAATACAAACTTTTAAAGGGGGATGCTCATTAACGTAATAATGTCTTTAAAACCCCGGTTCCTTTCTTCAAGAAAGTACACCGCGTCTCTTTAACATGGATCAGTCAGTTGTTTAGGAAAACAGTCGCTGATCATTCTGAAAAGAAAACGGATCTTATAAATACGCATTGCGTAAGTAAAACCGAACTTTATAATTTTAAAGACTGTGGCAAGTAAACCACATGGTTACCAAAATTATTTGAAGGTCAAGAAAGGCACGAAATGATTGAGGGTTTGATCGCACATTTTTTGGAAGAAGGACTCTTCTAGATTCAACACATCGGTTTCTCAGAAATAAAATTAGTTAAAGTTTTAATAGACTTAAAAACATAGGCTTATCATAATAGGACATCGTGTTTTATGAAGACGAATTCCTTGTGGAAGGCTTTGTAACGTGACACTTTTCGGTTGTTGAAAAGAACAGCCTCGTTGAGGAACCAGGCTTTGTTATAGGCGACCCCCAACTCGTCTGTCAGCTTCACCGTCTAGGGCTACTGTACGGACACTCTTGTTAATAAGCCCCGATGTTATTATAAGATTTTAATGTCGGTTGAGACCGACCTCAATAAAGAAGCTGACATCACTAGATATCTCAGCATCTGTAATTACTGGCTCTAAACTACATCAAGACAGTGACGTTGTATGATGCTTTTATGAACTCAAGGCATCTGTCTTCGTGG